AAAAAAANAAAAAACAAAAACAAACTGATGTGAACTCCCGCATTTCCTTTAAACATTACAAAAATTTTACAAACTAAAATCTTACCTGTTTCAACGGGATATGATTAAAAACGATGCTCAAGATTGAAAGCCAAACTAGCAGGGTATCATATAAAACGTTTATATGGTTTGCTAATTCCAAAATGTGAGGTATTGTATCCGCAAATAGGTATAACATTTAAGGACTGCTTATTGGTATTATTAACCTCTTAAGATGGGTTAGTTCTCGACATTGAACCTCGAGCATCATTGAATATTTTCGAAGATTTTACATTATCGAAAGTTAGAACAGACTCGGATTTGTGATTTCGATAATGTCTATAAGTGTCCTCATGTGTAAATATTTGCCAATTTGTCATGTGTACAGGGAACACACCCTCCACACACTTAAAGTTTGAGACAGTTTCAGGATGTATTTCCGACTTAAGTTTAAGGGAGAATAAAGTATTAAAAATCTATTGCAGATTGACCGACAGCGGTTTTGCTAATAAACGACTCACTAAAAGAACCTTGTATGTAGGGATTATCGTAAGTTTGTGCGAATCAACTCAGCCACTACCATCATTCTATTCAGCTCGTCTCACCATTTAGTTTCTACAGTATTCTGTTCGCATAACAAAGTTTATCAATAATTTACTACAACACAACAGACTGACTGACAGCATCCGTACAAATTTATAAATTAAAACAAAATGACCAATCAAGTAACCGAAAGATGAAGACATGCTAAAAATAAAACGTAAGACAAGCAAAGGTTCAAATCACAACAACGTGGACGGAGGAAAGTATGAATTAACGATAAGAAAAAGAAATCCAATAACTAGCAATGAATCACAACTTGAAACAGGTGATGCAATATATTACAATTTGAAAGATAATTTTAATATAATGCATTCATATTCTGTGTTACCTGAAATACGCTTGCAACTGTTAAAATATATTTGGACACAGTAGGATCTCAAATCCTGAAGAAGTATGGAAGTTCCAAAAGGCTCAGAAATTAGGCAAATTCATAAGCATCATTTTCATAATATCGTTGACAGATTTAAATAGGGATGATGTAAGAAGTTAAAGTAGAGGAAAAAAAGAATCAAGAAATAACAATTAGCAGAAAGATACAACAAAGAATATGGTTGAGGTGATTGAGCCAGCTGCTATATCTGGACCTCATATTCTTTCACCCGTTTTTCCCTAACCTAAAAGTTTCGTCCAAAGAACAATTAAAGGAATGAAAAAATATTCGAAAAAGTACTAATCATAACCTAGTGTATAGATAAGGAGGTTGTTATGCTTTCAAGCACAACTAAAATTATTTGGGGACAAAAACGCTTCCTCAATTCAGAGAAATGTATCATTATATGGAGTAATTGTGCCAAGAACTTCCGTTCGATTCAGTAAAACACATACTCCTGCTGTTGTTCTGCTTAATGACCTGGTCATCTCCGAACAGTTTAATTGGACTTCTTACGGGAATGTTGGTCAGCTTCTGGCAGATCGCGTACCTGCAATCTTAACTAATGTATTATTCGTAACATTTTTATTAGTAAATAAAACGTAGAACAGTAATGTTACTTAATTATCCGTCAACGTCCGTCAAATAGTGATTCTAGCTTTTTGACAGATCTACCCAGACATTCAGAGGGATTGTCTAAACTATTCAAATAATTAGAGCAGTGATTCGACGGTTAGCATTTTGACCCGCCATCAGGATATTCCTGCATACACTCGCAGTCACTGGATAAGATCAAAATTCCAAACAAGTCACACCATTCATTTTATATCAGTATCATCCCAGGTTGCTTAGAAATTCTAGAATAAATATACTCGCGTATTAGTTCAACTGCAGATTTTTTTTGCTGCTTGTTTCTCACAATAAGACATAGACACCAAATTTTGTGGTAACATATTTAGATGAATAAGACTAACATCGTCGTTTACATGTTTCCTTCTCTTCTGTTGGATTCTAGGTTGCTTGTCCATCTTAATCTTGCTATGTTTCTCTCGGTAACGACGTACTTGGAATAAAACAAAGTTCCAGAGCATATATAACTGTAACGCCAGGACGCACAATAAACTATTCAATCTGTAACAATAATATTTCTACTAACTTAAAGGTTATTTGCAAGTGCTAACTGCTCAGTGCACAGAAATATACAGAAAAATTAACATGCGAAGTTGTCGACTGAAATTAAAAAGACCATTTTGAGTTCTCCAGTAAAAGAACTTACCGGATGAACGCAGTGTTGAAATTTCCGTTCACTGGATCCACATAAGGAGTTTCATTGGAACGAAGCCCATACCATAATGTAAGTACAGCTAATACTGCACTTGCCAATCGTACTAGCACAAATACAATATTCCAAATTTTGAAACTAAATTTCTGTTGGTATGAATATATTAATGTAATCAAAATACAGATTTACATACTACAGAACACTACTTATTCCTGTCGCCTGTTGATATAAAAAGAAAAAAAAACAACATGAAGCAACTAGGAATGTCATTTCAACTACATTATTCTTTTAAACGAAACAGTGCCAAGAAGAGTAATAATTACATAATAACTACTTTAAACATACTTCTATGACAAGAAAAATTAAACGAACCCAGTCTTCGCAATGTTCCATTTTTCAGCAAAGTGAAATAGACGTGTAAGATGAAAAACATTCTGTGAAATATACTCCAGAAAAAGGAGGGCAAGAGCAAGTCGATTGAAGCTGTAAAGAAAATTACTGATAACGAAAACCGATACCGACACCTCTAACTTAATTTCATTGTAACAAAGAATACACAATTATCTTTTTATTTAACTGTCACTTCGCCTTTTCTCCTCAAAATCGTAGGAAGGGTTTGAAATCGAGCTGAGTAATATGTAAGATAGCTTAGAACAAAATTGTAGAGACAAACTTGGGTTGGTTTAAACCTGAAAAAATAAGGGAATGGCGCAATCCCTCCCAGAAAAGAGCTATAATTATGAGTAAATACTGAAATATCTAGTTTATAGAATAGCCATCCTATCAATTCAACCAGTTCTCATTAAAATCTATAATTTTTGTCAAGCCAAAAACACGGTGTACTTGAATGGAAATTCAATTGCTTTACAAGATTTAACGAGGACAAAAAGGAAAAACATGGTTGAAAAATATGTAAAACGTTTACTTCAAAGAATATGCTGCAATGGTGAAGAAAAGAAAAATAATTGAGTACAATGTTCGCGGCTGTATTTCATCTTTACGCACCTTTTGGAAATAGAATTCAGGGAACTGATGCAACCAGTAAGCAATCTGTAATATATCTTGAGCATATTCAAAATCCAAATGTCAAAAATTAGATAAAACAGAATAGATTTAGAAAAACTGCAAGCAAGTGGATGTCATTTACAAAGCCATAAAACTAATGTGCAAAATAATCATACTTGGAAAATAAAAAAAAGTTTCAGATGAAGTGTCATATGACGATGGACTTCAGGATATCCAATCCACAATTTGGTAAGGTCAAGATGCATTCGTAGATCATGCATTATGTAGCCTGTAAATTCCGTCACACAAAAGCATAATTAAGGTGAAATGTATGCTCGATGGAACACAAAAACGGTAACCTAAAATCTCTTCCAAAGATTGTATTTTCATTTAAGAGTGAAAATATTAAAGTCACGATTCCACAAAATATTAAGGCCGTTATTCCAAGAGAAATAGCAAACATCCAGAAAAAGTAACTTACCACTATGCACAACGGAATACAGAGTAAAAACGAATAGTTGCCCCGATTCAGCAAATTTACTCATCTTTGTTTTACTCAAATGAAGTTTCCGCTGCAATTTGTCCAACACATACTCTTGCAAAATAGCGTGAATAGTAATCCATCCAACAGCATAAAAAGCAACAGCTGCTACATCTTTCAAACCAGTCCGATAATAAGCTTGCGGTTCTACAAGAAAAAAGATAGTCCTGTATAATGAATACATTTAAAAACAGTTAAAAACAGTAAGTATATACTTATACAGCTTTCACCGATGTCTAAAAAGTAAATGACGGCTTCTGCACATGAAGATAAAATGGGTATCCTTAACAATTTCTTAAATACATTCGCAACGATGATAAAAGCATTCAAAGGGACTAAATCTGCATGGGTAGCAGGCATCGGCTGGACTCTAGTTTGAAAAAAAAAGCCAGTACCGCTTCCCAGAATCAATTACATATTTAACGCACGATAGCTAACAAGCAGCAATTAGCAGTTGCGGCATACTACTGAACAGAAAATCAAATCATCATAAGTAACCAATTTTTCTACTGTTTTGCTTAGAACACGACATACCGGAATCCAGGGTTAGCGAAAATGTATCATTGTACTGCGGAACAATGAAAATGCTTGCGAATGCCGATGTGCCCTATAAAATTATAGATTTGTCTGGGAACTACTGACTTGATACGTTAGTTATAGAACTATTTCTTCACGTAGTTTGATAGGAAAACTTTATCTAACAATGCAACTAGTTATGTAGCTCACAGTTACTTAACGAATATTTATCAACTGTTTTACTGATGTTTCGGAAAGGAATTACCTGGAAAAGAAGCCCAACAACAACGATCATCAACAAGCACGACATGATATCGCCATGATTTTGAATAATAAATTCATGGGAGAGGAATGGTGGTGAGGTTTTCTTGCCGCGTCCTCCCATTGAACGACGCAGTTCAACCATCACTGAACAGGTACAAGTTGCAAAGCAATATTTAATAATGCATCGAATCCATTTACAACGCGAAAAAACTTTTTAAACAACTCTTCCCAGGTATCAATTACCTTCGTATCCAGTATACCTTTCCTTCCTTTGCTTGAATCCCACATCAGAGTGTGAGAACCAATGAGTAGGAGGACGAAACCTAGATAAGCGTACAGATACTTCCCAAGAATTTGAGTCGGCTGGTATAAACTTCATAGCTCAACCAGCTATAGATTCCGTCGAATGACCCAACAATAAGCATGGAAGAATCAAGTCCACGAACTATCCATGTAATTGGGTTTGGAAAACGGATCTTCGTTAGTTGAAATGTCCATCTACATGCGTAGTATCCCACGTCACACACCATCAACCCATGAAACCATTAGCGCACCACCACCACCATCGCCACCACCACCACTGTCACCACCACCACCGCCAGCACCATCACCATCACATCAATGCCAACTCCAGCAAACTAAAGATAAAACGGAACGAATTTTTGTGACGCTATAAACCGCACCACGGAAAGCAGTAGTTGCAGTCCAATTACTGTAACTTGTCAGAATGCAGGCGGTAAATTTGAAAAGGAATGAAAATGAAATAAGAAAGGATGAAGTGAAGAACTGACCATAGGTGTTCGATGGGACGTGGGTAGAGAGGGAGCCATTAAAAAGCAACGATATAAATAGCGGAGAAAGTGTGGCCTGAAGGGGCGAACATTTTGCAACCTCTCCGATCATTTCTAACCTTCCGGATGATCGTTATCAGAGACTGAGACTGCTGCTGCTTCTGCTACTACTCCTATCATCTTCTCATTTGTCCTTTATTTTCCCTGTAACTCTCTCATGTAACAATGTTATTCCACTTCCACACTTACCCGATTCCTCAATCCCATCCGACCATTCTTCATTATTCAAAATCGATGCTTTCACTCGTGTTTCACGCATTCTTGACAGCTCCTTTCATCAGCAAATGTTTCTCGAAACAGTAGAATGAAGTGAAATGGTCATACGGAATGTATGCTTGGTGGGTGGGCCATCGTCGGGACTTCGTTTTGCCCCTTTCCCGAGTGAACGAATTCGAGTCAGTTCACTTTTTTCGCATTCAATAGTTTCGTTTTTTAAGTCTGACAATAAAGTTTAGCAAAATATGTTTTTAAGTTTGATTTTTTCGGAACAAAAATAATGTTTTAAAAGGAATATGTATATGACCACTACTTTCTTTG